TTGTCATTCATTTCATTATGTAACTTTGATTTATAAAATGATAATAAATTTTAGTTAAAAGAAAATATAAATCAAAAATATAAAGAATATTATTATTTTGTTATCTTGATTAAAGAAAATAAAATGTCTCTTTTGAGGGAGGTCTTCTGAGACCAGGGTCAAAGATGTTTATTCCCCCTCGGGGTGACCCCTACACTAATATATTTAATTTATCTATGTGTAAGGACCTAGCATGAAAATTTTAGTATAATGAAGGGAAAATGCCAGATATTTTAGAGGATAACACTTGTAAGATGAAAAATATGTTAGATGGTAATAAAAAATCATACAGTTCAGTACAACATAACTTTTTGTGGTATTGCAGGTTCAAAATTAGCATAGTTCTATATCATCCACAAGACACAATATAATTATTAAAGAAGGTACTTTAACATAACAGATTTTGTAATTGTTTTCATATGATTATGGAGCACATTACAATAAGTCGCTCTCCTGTAGTTGCAGGAGGAAAGCCCTTCCTTCTCTATCAACGTTCTCTCACTTCCTTGAGCTTGAGAAGCCTACATCTTTCTTGCTTCTGTATCCCATCTTTGCTCCAATGATCTTGGGTCATGAGTTCTCTGACAGCAGCATGACTCCACTCAGTTGGCATGTCCTCTCAAGTCCCCCCACTCCACCCCCATTCCTGTGTCGGCTTGTCAGAGAGTCCCTCAATACCCGCTCTGTCCGCCCTCTTTTTTTTGGCTATCGGACCTGGGTGGGCAAAAAGAGAAGGATGTCTCCTTGTGTTTTCATCATACGAGATGAGATGCCTAGAGAAAAGAGGGTGGGGGTTAAAAAGGGGGTTGACAGGCACGGCTAATATGTCTGGGGAGCCCTCCCCATCCCGGTCTGGTATCGTCCCATGCTGTCCCATTCCCACACTGGAGGCCGTGAACACTTGACACCTACAAACTAAAGTAGTAGCTTTTGCAAGAAGAACAATTCCAAATTTGATGGCTAATTAAAGAGAGTTGTGTGTTCTTCAGTGTTTTGGCAAGGGTGTCTGGGCCAGTTTATTTTGGATTAACAATGCAGATTACAATGGAATATAAAGAAGTAAAAGCAGAACTGGAGACTTCAGCACCATCATGATGACTAACAGGAGGTATGTGGCCGGGCAGCTGCTGTTTGTGTCTGCATCTTTCTGTCTTGTCATGCTGCTTCATTCATATAGGTTTTTTTTTGTCTGCTTTAGGTGTAGATGCATTTTTTGTTTACATAGAAGTATTTACTTCTAGAAAAATTTTACCTGGGGTTTAAAACGCTTCACATTTCATAATTTTGGGTTACTTGTTTCCAGCTTCTTTGTAGATCGTGTTTAGCCTTATAAACAGGCCACTGTGTGTTTTTGAAGCAAAGGCAGAACCCTGATAGGTCAGAGTATGTGGTTGTAATAACCAAAAGTGATGACAAAAGTCCTAAAATGTTCCCAAACACTTTTGTGGTTGACGTATTACGTCAAGATGTTTATTTGCAGCAGTTCATTGCTGTTTTACCTTAAAACATTGAGAAGTTATTCAAGAGTTTAAACAAAACCTTAAAAAGTCCAAAAACCTCAGCTACTTAGAAACTGTGGACATTTTCCTTCAAAGTGAATAAAGGGTTTGCTTCTCCCACAAGGTCAGTCTAAAGTCACTGATACAAGAAGAAAACTTGACTATTTTGTTTGTATATCTAATATAGGGATTGGTTTGAGTTTAGGGATAAATATAATTACTGCCACTAAATTGATTATAAATAGGCTGCTGCTTTGCATGCAACTATATTGTTAGTCTTGACTGGATGAAATTTGTGCAGCTTTCCTGGTGATATTAATGCATATAATCATAGTAATGGTACCATCCATGTCAGTGATGTACATAACCCTCCAGCAGGTGAGAGTATCTCCTATTAACTGTTGCATGACTTGCAGGGAGGCTGCTTCCCCCTCTATGTACTGTTTTTTCATTTGTCAAAAGTGTTTGTTTTAATATGGGGTGAATAGTACAAATTAGTGAGTTCAAAATAGAAGCAACTAATATGAAAAATGTAACTGTTAAATTCCACAGATGGAGGCCAGATACTTTGGCTGCCACACAGCTTTTCATCAGAGAGCCGCTGCATCTTGCAGCCATGTTAACGTGGCAGTGATTTTTCTTTAGGAATTAAGACGCCTAGAACTGAAAATAAATTATTTTAACATTGATTGACCTCCACAAATGCTGAATATAATTTTGAAACAAATTTAGCATTTTCAAGTTCAAAAACTTGCTCTCTGTTTCACTTTTACATCTTCAGAAATAACATTTACACTGAGACTGTATTCATTTTTTTTTCATTTTGTAGTATTAATGATTGTCATAATTAAACAAACTTTGCTCAACCACATTTTTAGTGCATGGGAAATGATTTGGCTATATTTCCTTTGTATTAGAAGGGTTGTATGTATTTGCAGTCTGAATGTTATAAAACTGGTTGCTGATGAGTATTTTTTGTGTTTTTTGCTGCATCAGTGCATTAATTTTTGCCTGTTCATAAAGGTATTTTTAAATTAATTTTGGCATTATTATCATTATCTTTAATATTCAGGTTATTTAACATAAATTTACACTTAATTGCAAGTAATTAATAAATGTTACATTCAGTGTTTTAATTGGGTGTGTTCTTAAGATTTATCATACAATTATTTATATTAAATATTACAAAAATGCTTCTAAGTAGATTATTTTGTGTACTTAAAAAATTTATTTTTGATTTACACATGCTTTGTTTTGTATTTCTAATCTTTTTTTTAGATTGCCTTTTTTAACTGCTCAATCACTCCAAAGCTTTTGCTGTGTTTTGAGCATGTTTGACTTTCCTAGTTGTCAACACTCTCTCCCTGAGCAGGCCTGGCCTCGCTGTAATTTAAGCTCTTGGTCCTTTTGTTCCCCACAGGGTAACATGACCCAAGTTTGCTTTGTCATGTGCTGGAGAGAGCGTTTCCCTCTCCACACCCACTCTTTGTCCAACACATCACCGACCATCAGCGCTGTTTCTGCCCAATCACTTTAGCTTTTTCAGTTAAATTTGATATTGAAGAGAGGCTCCCTGAAAAGGATGTAGGTTTATTAAGTTGAAGCATCATTTGGACTGTGTGGGTGTGTGTGTGCGATTATACAACCCAGGCTTTTTGAACAAGCTTGCTTGAAACACACTCTGCACTTGAGAGTGCATGACAGCATATGGTCTTTGTGTGCGTTCCCAGTTTAAAATCGGAGCCCCTTTGCCGCTCCGTTTGTTTGTCCTGTTTAGCGGAAAGGTCTGACTCTGTCTTCATGTGGGGCTTGGCCCACTAACAGAGGACACCCCGTGGATGGACAAACATCTAAAACTCGACAAAAATAAACCTGCAGCATTGTTGACACAGGCCAAATCTTGACACGAAGCGTGAAACAAAGCTTTAGGTTGCATTCTTCTCACTTTGTTGGCGTGCATACTTTCTGCTCTCTGTCAACGGTCATTTCACCTGCAGGGTGAACACGGACGGCTCTCGTTTCATGCTTATGCAACAAATTTCAGGTGATGAACCTTGTAAAGACCGCACTGTGAGCCATGAAACACTAAGAGTGGGACCTTAAATAACCTCCAGATATTTTAGTCACATTAAAAAAAAGTTTTTTTGCCTATGTTTGCCATATTTTTTTATAAAGAATTAAAACAAAAGTCCTAAATTACTAAAAGAGGTTTTGAGGTTGCTCAGATTTTTGGTGTTGCTATTATTTACTTGGTTAATAGTTTTCCACAATATTTGTCTGTTTAAGTCAGCAATAGTTAGGATAGCAGGCTTTTGTCAATATTTTTTATCAGCTTACAGTATGCAAGTCCATCACAGATTAAAATAATCATTTGTTGCTATTTTTTAATGAAGTCATCAACATTTTATGAAGAAAAGTGCTGTTATCAATAAGTACCGGTAGTATTTTATTCTCTAAGTCACCATTCTTGCTTTCAACTGTTTTTCCTCTAATTACTGTGTCTAAATTAAAACTTTTGTGAGCTGTGAGCACTTTTTTTTTCAGACCCAGCAAATAGGATTAGAAAAAAAGGGACCCAAATGCTTGTTTCTTTTTATAGAATTGGTTTTTCACTTAAGTCGTGGTGCTAGCCTAAACTATGTGGCTTTTGTTCTGGATATCTCAGACACACAGTTCTGGTTTCGGGCCTCTTCCCTCTGGCTCTTACTCTTCTCTGGTGAGAATGTCACAGCTGGTGGAAAATACTCACAGGGACACGAGCTATGCTGAGACACACTGGCGGAATGGACAAAAATAAAGCATTTGGTCAAACTGCGGTAATCTTGGAATGATGGAGTCATCGTGGGGGCAAACATCTAACCTCTGCCCTTTTTTCTGTTTTCACCCAGCAGTCATGGAAGAAACGGTGGTTTGTTCTTCGCAGTGGTCGTCTGACAGGCGACCCAGATGTGTTGGAGTACTACAAGAATGACCACACTAAGAAGCCCATTCGTGTGATTGATCTTAACTTATGTGAACAGGTACTGGTATGCTTCTTTGTTTATAACCAAGCTGCAAAATCAACATCATATTTATAAGATTTTGAATAAACCATAAGACAAATTTTTAATAAAAGTTTGTGGCTCATAAGTCACATTAATGCTTTTTACACTTTGGTCTCAGGGAAATGTTACATTTATACTACATTTAAAGAGAGCTTTATGATCCTAACTCAAATGTTTTTAACAATAAATTCAGTTTTCCATTTTGATCTCTGTTTAAAATAATACAAAACCATTCTTGTTTGATGAAATGAGAAGAAAAACTGAAAATTGTTGGTCTGAGGAAGATGAAGAAATCTGAGAACTGGCTATAACGTTCAGTTTAGCAAAACTAAAGATAAACATGTAAGAAACTGCAACAGTAATATCTCTTAGGACTCCTTGCTTGACCTATTTTATGTTAATGTATACTTTGTGAACTTCTGTTAGGTGGATGCTGGGCTGCAATTTTTAAAGAAAGACTTGGAGCACAGGTTCATATTTGACATCAGGACCATTGATCGCGTCTTCTACCTGGTGGCTGACACAGAAGAAGATATGAATAAGTGGGTTCGCCACATCTGCGACATCTGTGGTTTTAACTCTACTGATGATGGTAAGAATTTTCATTCAGTAGGTAAAAACGTATCAATATCCTAATGGCACTATCAGCTTTTATATATCTGTGATAGAATTTCGGCAAACAGTATGTTCTATCAAAACACGATCACTGGTGGGACACATAAATGTGTCTTATCAGTGGTGAAGATGGAGCTGCTGCAGCTTGTAAGAGTATAAAACAAAGCTACTGGACCTCTTGTTTGTCAAAGGCGTGTTCTAAATTCAACCTGAAAGATAAGTTTTTACACTTTAAAAATGGTCAACGGACGACGTACACATCATGTTTATTTTACAGTTATCTGCTGCCAGCACTATGTCCTTTAGTATAAAACAAAATTTAGACATTAACTGAAGTCTTCCTTTTATGTCTGTTTTTTTGGGCACAACTCCAAACTTATGCACCTGAAATAAATTCCCGTTTAACAGTTTTAAATAGCTTGTACTTGATAAAGTTATCGAAATACACAGCGTTAATCTGTAGGTTTGTTTCTCTACATGTCTTTGCCATCTAATGTCACTGGCGTACTTCCTAAATCTTCCTCTGAAAGAGTTTGAATGTACTTGAAGTTGTCTATTCAGCATAGTTTCATCCAAGGTCTAATGATCCATGTGCTGATCCATGTGTGCATCGAGGTTCGTGTTACTCTTGTTCCTTGTACTGGATAATCAAAGCATTGTGTGCCTGGAGGTCTTGCTGAATTTCTTTCCCTCTTGGCCTCTTTCATTCCCTCTTGTTTGCATACCCCCACCCCCTCCTCCTGTGTCTGAGCCTGATTCCAACCTGTGCCGTTTGTGTTATTCTGGTACTTTTAGTTTGTCTTCTTTTACACCTAAACGTGCAAAATATGGTACTTTGAGTACAATGGCCAAAAGTGTTGCACCAATTATCTTTTTGATACAGAATAGAATTGCAGTTTCTTTATGCAGACAAAGGAACTTTTTCATCTTTATAAATAAGTCACTGATTATGCTGCTACAAGGTCATAATGAAGCTGTACCTCCACCTTTTTCATAGCTAATGTTACACGGTTACCTTGATATTAGCATTTATTCTACAAGGAACTGACAGTTAAAGTCTTTGTGAGAAAACAACCAGTAAGAATCTTTAAAGAGAAGCCAGATATAAAGAGATATTTTTTGCAGCTAGGCCTCCTCAGCTCTTATGAAAGCACGTCCTTGGCGCTGTATCTGCTTGCACTTCTCTGTATGTGTGACCCACCTCCCACTCTTCTGTTGTGTGTGTGTTTGTGTGTGGCCACGCTACATGTAGTGTTTTGTAGCTGAGCAGATATTCAAGAAAGAAACATTTAGAGAGCTTAAAGATTGAAAGCTTTCTGACATTGTAGGAGGTGTACATTAGTATAAAAAGTGGGATTTTATTTTCTCAAAATCAGCACAAACCTATAAGCAGGAGTGGATAGAAGTAGAAAAAAAGAGGACAAATTTCACACTTTCAAAGGGAAACAGATTTTTTTTTATTTATAAAAGAAACTCTGCGACCTTGCTTCCAATAAAACCCCTGAATAGAAAAAAAGAAACAGAGCTTGCACAAAAAAAAAAAGTATTTATCAGCCATCTTGTCTCTGCAGCACAACAGTCAGTTTAAGCAGAAGAGTTTAAAGACTGAAATTTGATAACTCACCTTGTGGAAAGCCAAAGACCTTGAAAAATTGGTGTCTGAGAAAAAGTGTGGGACGGCAATAATAAAAAAAATACTGTATTCAGACCAAAAACACATGAATCAAGCATTTAATTAGGCTGCATATGAGTGCTGGATAAGAAACGATGGATGAGAATATGCATTGATGGCTTTTTTTATGTTAATTTACAGCGAAACCTGCAGTTTGCTTCAGCTGTTTGCGTCAGTGTTCCCTGCTTTGTGCTCAACAATTTTCTGTATTGTCCTCATCAAAAAGAAAAAAAACAAGTAGGTTCTCTGGATGGGTTCTTCTTTAGTGAAATGTTTCATGTCTCCTCCAAGAGACTTCAGTCTGATGAGTTTCAGGTGAACTCAGCCTTATAAGCACTGCCTCCACATGGACAAACAGGTTAGTCACATGCAAAAGAGGGTCATCGCCTAACAATAGGCTTGATTAGCTCTGTTGTTCATAGAGGGTCATGTGCCCCATCACCTGACTTACTGGTTTGGATGCTTCAGCTGTGGTTATTTGGTGTTGTGCTATGTGTATGTAGTGAGTGCAAGCGGGGTTCAACATCCCCTTGTTTTTGTCCCTCTTTCCCTCTTTGTGTTGACTATTGTTGGGGCCCTGATTCACAACTTTTGCTCACAGGGGCCTGAGTAATACTTGCAATAACAGCGTTGTAGGAGGACAACTGGACACCAAGGCCTCCACCTCTGTTGTCCACCATGTGGAGGCAGTGCTTATAAGGCTGAGTTCACATGAAACTCATCAGACTGAAAAAGTCTCTTGGTGGAGAGACACAACGTTTCACTAAAGAAGAACCCATCCAGAGGACCTACTTATTTTTTCTTTTTGATTTTTTTCTACCTGTATTTTCTATAGTTTATTTTCATGCGTGAGATGGGAGACATGTTGAATTGTTGAAAACAGCCTTGATTAAAGGTAGAGATCAGTTCTTGTAATACAAGAATACAAAGAGCTGTAAGAAATGTTCTTCAGTTGCTTTTGCCTCAGAGTGCACTTGTATTTAACATTTTGCCAAGCAACTTCAGAAATTATAGCAATGTACGTAATGTTTATGTCAAAATGTTTCTGAAGACTAAAGTTTTATATTGAAATTGGGTTGTTTGTAAACAAAGTCAGCCTGAGTTTACTCTGCCAGAGTTGAATTTGGCAAACACAATTTACTGTTTACTTTATGCCTAATTTTCGGAGTCAGCTACATGACTTATTCTGTCTCAAGGGGGTCAACAAAGCTGCAGTAAGAGCTGGTCCTGGTAAGCCATTTGATCTTTTTCAGGTTCAGTTAGAGCCATAGGTTACATTGGTTTGACTAGTTTTCTTTCTAAATGCGTTAACTACCAAAAGTCAGCTTTATAATGGATATTAGAAAAGGCAACATTTTTGTCTTTACACAGGTAAAGCATGTTAGAATTTATCTGTGACCATATTGCTTTGTTTATTTGCTTGCATGTGCCAGCTATGGAGGACCAAAACTGGCATAGTTAGAAAATTAAAATATTATATATTTTACAGCATATTTTACATTTTACTATTCTTAAAAATCTATACAGTGAACCCTCATTTTTCACGGGGGTTGCATTCCGAAAAGAACCTGTGATAGACGAAATCCGTGAAATAGTTACCGTACAACTTGCACCCGCGGAGGGGGTGTGTGTGTGGGGTGGGGGGGTGCTGTGACTGTCGGCTGCGGACCTGACAGCGCCTGCTGCAAAGCAGGAGGAAAAAGTCCAGAACTTATTTCTAGTGGCAGAACAGGTTTGAAGATGGTTATTTGGTGTTATTTATTGCTTTTTAAATCATCCTACAGGCTCTAACATGTTGATAAATTTGAAAATGAGGTTTTGAAAAATGTGTAAGACTTGAAAAAATCCATAAGATTGTTCTATATGTCCGTATACCTGCAAAATGACATAAAATCTTTACAACTTATGGACAATCCGTACAACTTCACGTGTATGTATAAACCGACATGCCACCATTTATTATATTTGAGAACTATAATGAACGAATGAAATTTGCAAAGCTGTATTGCGTATATTTGAATACCGTAACATTATTGGCACACAGGTAGAGAGGAAGCACAGAGACTGTTTAGCCAATCAGGACGAAGAACACAATGCACTGTGGAAAAAAACCTGCACAAAAATACCTCGAAGCAGCGAGGCCGTGAAAGGTGAACCGTGTTATAGCAAGGGTTCACTGTATTTTTCTTTTTCTTTTTACTTGTACATCATTTGTGTCTCTTAAATGTTTATATTTAATATTTTTTTAAATATTTTTTCCACAAGTTTTTTTTTATTTCCATGTGTTGCTTTTACATTTCTCTGTCTCCTGTATTTACATGAACTTATGCATTTCTGTCCCATTATGCAAATAAGGTGTGCGGTCCTTCTCAAGTCACCTCTTTTCCTGCTGGTCAACAGACATAAAGGTTTAATAGAAGTTTACTCCAGCTCTTTTTTTTACTTTCTGCAGATGCTTCAAAAGCAGCTCACCCATCAATCACCGGAGGGCATGTGGTGGATACCCCCCCACACCCAACTAACATTGTTGGACCAACGGCGTCTGTGCTGTCCGGTGTGCCACCTCCATACCAGCCGGTTAGCGTGCGACACCTGGAGTCTCAGTCCAGCTCAGAGGAGCCGCAGGATTACCTGTGGCTGTCCAACTGTGAGAGCAGAAAGCCTGCGCCCAACAGGTGCGACTGTCTGAATGTGTGCTCAGGTTGTAGGAATGAGTCATGACATTTACTTTGTTGGGTTGTCCCGCTGTGACAATATTTTCTGTTTGTACATTTTCCAGACGTTTCTTCTTTCCTTCTTTTTGTGTTGCACACTTCAACTGTACTGCTCCTCTCGTCCCTGTTTCTGCTGTATGTTGTGTGTGTGTAGCTCAGTGGAGTGTCAGCCTCCACTGGAGGAGAACCAGGAGTATTTGCTCCTGGAGGAGTGTGAGAGCAAGACTCCACAGACTAGTTTGTGAGTGTTCAGACGTCCAGCTGGAACTGCCTGCTTGTGTGAAGATGTAATGAGGAGAGAGCAACACTTCACACCAACACTTAGCTGCAGATTTATTTATGTGACTATAAATGTACATGATGAATATTAATGATGGGTTTGAAGTGTTTTGTGTTTGAATTGGACCTGAAGTGTTTTTTATGGCTAAATAATCCACCCCCTACATCAAAAAGGTTCAGGTGTTTTACCTAATACTGTGCTGATTGTGTTGTACTTATTTTTGCCTGCATGTTGAAATTTAGCACAACGGCTGCTAGGTGCTTTGGTTCTCCACGTGATCCACAAAGCAATACTAATATAGAAAGATTAGTGATTAGAGAGGCCTAAATATAACTTCATGGTATTAACTGTGGCTTGCAGGTAGTGGTGTGAAGTTATACTGTGACTGTGTGGATATTTCTGCATTTCCAAATCAATGTTTATTGTGTTCTCAGGACCCACGCCGAGAGCTCCAAATCTACCTCTTCAGAGACGGACCTGAATGACAACCTTCCATCTCATCACACGCCTACATCCACCACTTCCTTGACAAAGCACACTTCGCACAATGGCTTCTTCCATCATCACCAAACTCCAGCCTCTGCACCTTCCTTTTACGACTCGCCGCCCTCCCGTGGCGCCTCGCTCTCAAACGACGGCGGCATCTATCACCTCCCTCGCAGCCACTCGCAGGACACGGTGCTCCTTCCCAAGTCGGCCCCCTCATCACAAACTCACCCGGACGGCGGGGACGCCTCTGACCTTTACGTCTTCAACACGCCGACCAGGAAGGCCTCGATGGAGGCACAGATGCGCAATCTTTCTGTCAGTTACGACATACCGCCCACACCCGGGGCGAACTCTACATATCAAGTTCCTCGCACACTGTCCACATCGGCAGGGTTAGGAAGCTCAGAGTGCGGCGGAGAAGTCGTCCCTCCTCCGAGACCACCCAAGCCTTCGCTTAGTTCCATCTCAGGACTCCCACCGCCCCCTGCGGAGCGCTCACCTACGGACACCTATTCTGTGCCTCGCTCAGCCTCAGAGACAGATGGAAATTATTGTGTGCCAACCAGTGCTGGGAGTAAAGCTTTACGCAGCAACACTATCGGCACTATGGACAGCTCACGACTCCGTAAAGGTTTGTGTTGGAA